AAGTACCAACGAAAAATACGATGAGATTTTTCATGTATGCGTTGGAACTTCTACCTAGGATAAGTGTACCATTGTATTCTGCCTAGCATCATCAGGTAGTATCTGTGCATAGTATCTTTATTCAAAGTGCCACTCCCAAGTACTTCAGTCTCAGAGAAGAGTATAGTAACTGTGTGCAATATGAAATTTTCAGAATATATTTATGAGTATTATATTGTGTGAATTTCAGCATATAACCTTTATCCTTATTAAATAACAATGTTATCTTTGGGAGATATTAGTACAACATAAGTTTTTATTAATAAATAAATCCCATATATATATATATATATATGTCATTGAAATGTATCCTTATTAAATAACAATGTTATCTTTGGGAGATATTAGTACAACATAAGTTTTTATTAATAAATAAATCCCATATATATATATATATATATATATATATATATATATATATATGTCATTGAAATGTATTTGATTAACACAATATCTCATATGCCTGAATAAATTATTTTATAAGTTTGCATATTAATATGCAGTCCTTGACATTCTATAACCTTTGTCTATCTTTCATTCATTGAGTTTATTAACTTTTCTGCTGATTCAAATTTAACATTGCTTGCAACAATTTATATTGCATCCCAGAGATCTTTGCTCGAATATTATTTTTCATTCTCATATATATATATATATATATATAAATGTGGATAAATCGAATAATGAACGTAGGTATACACACATATATATATATATATATATATATATATATACATACACACACTCACACAATCATCAGGCAGTTGAAAAGGACAGGAAATTCAATTCAAAATTCTATTTTTTATATAGAGATTTTAGGAGACTAAAACTGACAAAGTATGAGTGTGATGCATTTTGTCCTTTAGGATTTAACTGGACTAAAGTGTTGTCTAAATTGATACAACAATACATGTACACAAAGAATTTTAAATTTAAATCAAATGTTTATTTTTTTTAAATATATGTTTTGGGTATATAGTCTAGCCAATTTCATTTAGTTACTTTTTTTGTTCATGTGTCCATCACTTTGTTATCAAATATACCACATTGTGATAATAGATCTACTAAGATAGGGTAAATGTTGTAAGAAACTGCTGAACAGAGTTTACAAAACAGGCCAGGCCCTGTACAGAACAATTCAGTTTGTCACACCTGCAGTAAGCATCACAAGTCACTTGCTGTCTTCAAGAGCCATTGTTGTTTTCATGAGAACTTAAAACATTGATCAAACTTGTCTGTGATGGTCATACTCATTAAATGAGTTGACTGCCAATATATATATATATATATATATATATATATATATATATATATAACACATATAGTGCTGGTGTTAATAAAAAGGTGCTCGATATATATAATACAACAGAGCTATTAAGTATATCTTAATAAATATCCATATCATTCATTTATATGTATGTACATGTATATGTATGTATGTTTATGTATATATATATAATTATGAAGATGAATTAGATATAATGAATTTAAGTTTTTTTTATATATATGATGATGATTGTTATTCTATTGATATAGATGATGAGGATATAAATTTTGATTTAATTTCAATGTATTTCACTAGCTGTCACTTGTACTTCCCCCACTTATCCCTGCTCATTGTGATGACACCTTGCTTCTCTTCTTTCTTTCCCCCACTCCTCTCTCTTCAATAACGTAAATCCCCAGAAAAATTTTTCTAAGTCAAGTAATTCAGTCATTTACTTCCTTTTCTCTTGTGATTTAATTTTAAAATAATTTTTAATAAATTGTCTGGATAAATTTAAATGATTTTTTAATTTCAGTCTGATGAGGCAAATATTAAAAATGTATCTGGTGAAATAAATTCTTCAATGATGTGTTAAGTTTTGCTCTTCTTGATGTCTATCATATTACTCTGTATATAAATACATTGAGCTCGCTTCATGGATCTATTTTTTTAATATTTTATATTAAAAAGACCTACCATGATTATCCTTACCACTTACAGGTTTGATATTATCTATCGATCTATCTATCTTTCTCTCTCTCTCTCCCTATATATATATATATATATATATATATATATATATATATATGCACACACTATGCCAAAATGGTTGGCATGATAGACTCATGAATGTCCAAGCTAACTTGACCAAATAAAATAAAAAATGTGCACACATTGCAAGTTATATATGTGTGTGTGTGTGTGTGTGTGTGTACTGTGTGACATAAAATCTTAAAAAGGAATGACCATATATTATTTATAAATAATTTATCACACAGTTAATTAGAATGTTAATACCACACATTTCATTGTTTTAAAGCTATTGCTATCGAAATTTATTCAAATCTAATCATAAATTAAAAAAGAATAATCAATGATTTTATGTGTTTAATAAGACAGGAAGCTATGGAGAGCCATGATTGCTCATATCCTGAAGGGACATAATAAGTAGAGTGAAAGTGTGAAAAAAAATCAGCTTCTTAAAGAGTGAACAGATGCAATTAATGAAAGGGAAAAAAACAAATATGATTTAATATTGTGCAGGTTATTTGACATTAATTTTGGTTACTATAGCAACAAGGTTGTCATAAATGTTTTATTGACAGAATTATTAAAGACAAGGTGTTGGAGAAATGTATTTCTCAATTCCTATTAAGTGAAATCATTTCACTCACTGTTGACCATATTTCAGCTCAGGTGCAAAACATCCTGAAATTTTTGCTAAGTGAGGTTTTCCTTTCAAAAATTTATGATTGACAAAATATCAGACATTGTTGAAATAATAATAATTTATATGTGAAATTTTGATGACTGCTTTCTATAGTAGATCTGTAAATATTTGTTGTGTTCATGTTTTCACCAAATTTTATTTGAAATGCTGTTATTTTAAACTTTGGATGAGTGTACAGCCACAGTAAAATTCAATAATGGCTGTAAAACTTTACTTTTCTTAAGATCAGTTTGCTGCAATGTCAAAGAAGAAACTGACCCTTAACTATTAACTTCCTGTAATAACTATCTTACAGTTGTCTCAGTTTCATAAGGTTTTTGGTAAATAATGGTAGTGGTAATATTAGCCATTTCCTTATATTCATTCACCAAGCAGCCAGTACTGTTTTCAGTTGAAATTGATAAACACTTTCTCTCAAAAGAATTTTAAAAAAAAAAGAAGAGATTTCTCAAGTTCAGTAACTGTTATTGCTCTTTTCAGTATTAATGGGTGTTTCCTTCTTAACCTTTTATTTGAAGTAGAGTGGAACATCAACATATTGATTATGTCATTATTTTCTCTTCAAGTTACATTTGCTGTCCAATTTAGTTGTTGCTGTTGTTGAAAGTCTTCAAGTAATATGGTTTTCTGTTGGTACTATGTCCAGGGATATTGCATCTAATTCTTATTTAGTACTTCTTATTTAGTGACATGGTCATCTGAATAAAAACATTATACCCCTGTTGATTAAATAATGAGTTCAGTTTGAAATTCCTGCAAAGTTACCTGAATCGACAAGCGCCCCTGATAAAGGCCAGAGAGCAAACTTTGATTTTTGCTTATGTAGTTTCCTTTGAGCAATTTGAGCAGATTGTTTTTTTTTAACTTATCTCTGTTAATTCCATCTTCTTAGATATAATTCATTTACAAAATTGAAATAAAAAGTAACATAGAAACATTTAAAATCTATTAAAAATGCTAAAATAGGTTTCATTTTCAGTTTCATATTGGAATATATTTTCATGATGATTATGTTCTTTATATATTGAATTATATCTTCTTAGCATGATATCAGTTTAAACTGACACCATTTTTTACCATATATCTAAGCTATAAGTATAAACTATCATTTTGTGGAGAGAAAATTTAAACTACTGGCAAATGAAAGATTCTTTCACTCACCAGTAGCTTAATATCACCTGAAGAGACACATTTATGGTGTCAAAACATAATTGTAATTGTGTAGTGATTTTGAACATTTTAATATCCAAAAATAAATAATATTTTTTAAATATATATATATAAATCCTCAGTATTAATTTTATATTTGTATTTATCCAATACACACACACACACACACACACACATATATATATATATAAATATAAATCCTCATTATCAATTTTATATTTGTATTTATACAATATATACATATATATATATCCTCAGTATTAATTTTATATTTGTATTTATCCTATATATATATATATATATATATATATATATCCTCAGTATTAATTGTATATTTGTATTTATCCTATATATATATATATATATATATATATATATCCCTTATCTCATTCACAATTTTTTACTTTTCCCATTATTCCAATCAGAATAATTTAGAAGTAAAAGTTCATTTTGCACCTGAGCTTTATTCTTCTCAGATGAATTCTTTTTATACTCAAAAAAATGTTCTAATTAAAAGTGTGGTTGTTATAATGTTGTCTTTGTTCAAAGAACCCATTTCAACTGCAGGTGGAACAGGTCAACTTATTAAAGCACAAGTTTCCATTAGCTGAAGGCTATCAGTTCAATACTTGTGCTGGGTAGCAAATATACATTTGCATTAAAATTAACAGATTCACTTTTAACATTAATGGATACAGTAGGCTCCTGAGAAAGGCAGATCAAGTAAGTTGAAATGTAATGATCCAAATAACAATGGTGAGGATGCTAGTTTGAAGAACTTTTTGCCTAATGCTAACTAAGCCATAGAACAGTAGTTAGCATTAGGCAAAAAGTTCTTTTGTACAACATGAACACACAAAAGGAATGGTTTAGACAGATCTGTTTAAATGCAGTTTGTTTTGTTTAAGATATTAGAAATAAATACAATAATATTTTAAAGATGATAAGAAATTTCTATTTAAATATGTGCATGCATTATTTCTCACATGTAACCAAATGAATTCTTTAAATATCAATAACTGTGCAATCTGTTGATTTAAAAAAAGAGCTAAAAAGTAAACTTTTCTTTTTCAGAAGCTGTTCAAGAAACAGGAGGGTAAGTTTAATAATTTAATTCAACAAAATTACCTTCAGATGGCTGATTAACATTCCAAAGAACAAAAAGTTTATGAAGAATATTTTAATAATTTTTCTTTTTAAATCTCTGAAATGAAACCCATTTTTTCTTTAAGGATAGGATTTTCTCTCAAAGAAAAAACTTTAGAAGTAGATAAAAAATTCTTGAAGACAATTTGTTATTCAGTGATAATTTTATTCCTTATCCTTTGTTGTGCTTAAGATCAGAAAGAGTTAAAATTTCTAGGATACCTGAGAAAAGAAGGCTTGGAGAATTTGACACTCACAGGACATATTGAAGGAAAGGGGAACAAAGGGGAAAAAGTAATATACCTACAAGACTATGTAAATCAATGTCTGTACAGGGTCTAGGAGGGATAGTAAAGAGACAAACATTTCATGGAGCTATGAAAAATAGGAAGTTATGGAGAGCTGTAGTCACTCACATCCTGAAGGAACATGGCACATAAAAAATGTTATTTTAGTGATATAAAAACTTATTAATCCTTTTTTTTCTATTACTATATTTGATGCTATATAAGCACCTAAACTTGTTTTTATGTTTAGTATTACAGTATTATAAATTTAATTACACATACTGGTTATCTATGGCAGGGGTTGGTAACCTACAGCACAACGTGCCACACAAAGTAATTTCCAATGGAACGCAGCCACAAATGACATCAGAAAGTCCAAACCAATAACTACTACAACGCAAAGATGATATTTAGCTGTTTCAAAACAGCTCACTTGTTGGTCTCCCATACTTTGAATATACACTCTTTAGCACTAGACAGGCATCGTCAGTGATATTCTGATTTGGGTCACAGGGCAGTTTTGGGTCTTTCAAACATCATACTCCCCTTCATCTAGTCGACCCCATTAGAGTCTCTGATGCGTCACCCTGATAAATTAACAGTCTGCAGACTTATATTAGGCAAACCATAACCCACTATCACGCATTTGATTGGAAGTTGACCAACAGCCAATCACAATAGTGTGAGCTCTATTTAAGTTCTTTACGGGGGATTTTTTAAAAACAGTTTATTTCTATTAAGATGGTTTGCATATTATTGTATATATTACTATATAAAATATATTGTAGAACAGGTATATTGATATTGACTTGTATAAAAGTACATTTGCTGTTGCCACACTGAATGATTTTAAAACCCTAAGTTAGTGCATAGTCAGCAAAAGGTTGCCAACCCCTGATCTATTGCATCTTGGTAAACATAAGTCAACCAGATCTACTATAAGCCAAAAAATTGGGGTCACCTTTTGGATTTAATAATTAATAAGTTACATACCTTCTTTGGTTTAATTGATGTATATTGAGCTTGAATGCTGAAACTACTTAACCCATTAGTACATGGTGTCTAATTTAATAATCTGCCATCCTGAAGATTACCATTAGCCAGCAAAGTAGTTTAGGCTAAAAAAGCTAACATGTTAAGGATATTTTATATAGTAATGAGTTAATTTTGTTATTATTATTATTATTGAATATATGAGAAAATTGTTCAAGAAGAGAAAGTCCCTGTGGCCTAAAGTTAACTACGAAATTAGTTTGTTTTTGTTTTTTTAAAAAAAAAACTTTCAATTTTTAGTTGATTCTTTGAAATCCAGAACATGGCCACAAACTTTTGGCTTATAATCTATCACATATAAATTCCAAGGGATATTTTTTAACCATTCAAGATGGGAAGGAAGGTTCTTAGATGTTCTATGCTATCAAATACAGTATCCTTTGTAAATATTGGTTGTTTAATATAGGTTATTTTATCTCCACAAAAGCTCCTTTGTCCTTCAAGAATTTCAGGTTGTGTTTGGTCTGTTTTCACAGTCCAACAATTTCCAGATACATGGCATATTTTAAAAGGACGTGAATAAAACATGTTCAAAACCCTGAGGCATCAAGATTTTTACTCTCTTGACAATTCTTCTCCAATTTTATCATTTCCTCAAAGTTGTCTTTTCTGTTTCCTCTTATTACTTACCAATAAGATTTTGATTTGTAATTGACAAATATGTGGAATAAATACACTAATTCAAATTTGATACTTATAAAAAATTGTGATTTTACAGCCAAGCAGATTTGTTAATTAACAATTTTAATTGAAGACTATGTCAATCTGATGATCTGTTGTGCTTTACAAACATTGAATTACAAGTGATCATATCAAACTGTCAAACAAGTTTCTTTTTTCTTTTGCTAGTTTTTATGTATCATTTAAAATTTTATATTTGATTTAATATCTAATTTTGGTCATTGTGTGTAATTTGTTTTCTGATTTAAAAAAAAAAAACATAATAGGATTTAGAGTTAGTAAATCCCAATATTTGGAGTGATTAAGTTGTGGGTTGATAATTAATTTTGATGGATTTTCACTGAAAACAAGCATGAGTGGTAACAAGAGCAAATGGGCTAAGAAGCATTTTTAACCCATTATTGCCTAACATAAAATCCAGTATTAATTATAAAAGTAAAAAGTAATTTCTATCATTATTTATAGGTTTCTAAAAAAACTCCAGTCGACTTATAAAAATCTGATATTAATTATAGGTTTCCACCTATAGCCCATTGTCCCCCAAAATAGATCATTGGCCATTTATGAGTTAATGCTAATCTCTATCGTTAACAATGTTTATGAGATATAAGCTAACATGTCAAAAAATTAACTCATATTATATAGGACCTTCTTTAGCCTGAATAATTGCAGTTACATGATGTGATATGTGATTTATAAGCTGCTAGTGTTGTTGCATGGGTATTTCTTTTTCTTTTCTTGAATTTCCTTCTGGCTCCATGCTTTCCAGCCAACTTTAATCTTCAAACATTTAAATGCAATGTCAATCGCTATCTACTGTTCTCTTGATTACTCTTCTTCTGTATTCACTCCTTAGTGGTTTTTTGGTTTCTAATTCTTTAAGATCCAGTAACCCCTTGTGTCTCATTGGCATTAATGCCTTGCTTGGGGTAAACTTGATTAAAATATATATATATATATATATATATATATATATATATATATATATCCTGGCTCATTCTAGATCTATTCATAACTTGTTTTTATTGGGTGTGACTGCAGAGCAAATGTTCGATACCTGCTTGATGGGGTTTAAATCTGACAAGTACTGGGGCCCAACAGAGTACCTGCTTTCCATTTTGCTTGTATTATGGAATCATCCTATCTCCCTTTTCTAGGAATGGACTCTTCCTCTGGAGATTATATAAATGAGCTATTTCAGTCATTGTTATAGTTGTAGTATCTGTTCCGTGCTGGGTTCCCCACTTCCCCTGCTGTTGGACAGAATCCTTGGATCTGTTTCGTAGCATGGTGTTTCACTGGCTACAACTAGCTAACACCAGAAATTGACCAGTGGCCCGAGTGTAGACACTCTGGTTCACCTTGTTAAAACAAAACAAACAGACCTTGTGTCACATCTTGACTCAGTAGGGAGTCAAAGGTAAATATTGGGACATGTCCATATCTACACTTATTGGCATTCCATATTAAACTATGTGTCACATCCTACCTCTGCAAGGTGGGCTAAGGTAATTGGGCGCTTTTTGGGACTTGACTTGCCTGGTCATTGAAGAAAATATTGGTAGCCATACACATTAAAGATAGTCAAGAAGATGGCATCAGACTAAATAAATTCATGAAAATTTGAAGAAGGTCATAATGGGAAAATGATTTGAAAATCAGGTATGAACGGTAACTTTATCATTTATTGGTAAATCCAGGAAAATTATTTTAACTGTAAAGTGTCAGAACTAAATCACTTGATTTATTGATGAAAGAATTGATTGACAATGTTTTTGAGGTATTCAGAGAACAAAGGCAGTATCTATATTGAATTGTAGAATTTGGTCAAAGATACAGTAAAAACACTAAATAGATAATAACTTTGACTAATGTGGTGATAGTCTTTAAATTATTAGATAGTCTTAACTTCATGCCTGGCTACAGATCTGCAGTACATGAATATGGACTCTCCCTTGAGAAAGATATTTGGTGAAAATGGCTGATCAGCTTAAGACAAGCATTAAATTCCTCCAATGGACAACAATGTACATTGAACAATAATAAAATATAGAAATATTTTTAATTTCAAAACAAAAATGAAGGGAAGACATCCTCTGACTAAATATGGTAAACCTACAAAATGTAGGTTATATCAAAGTGTCCTCCATTGATGAAGCAAATGTCCACACAGAATTGATTCTGTCAAAATGACAGAAAACTCTCCATTGAAAAACACAACATTACACTCAAGAGAATGAAGTATATGTTGTGGAGTCTGGGAATTCTACTGTTAGTGATATGGCAAATATCAGAACCATATGTGATAAAAATGGTTGGATCATGACATGCATAGTATAAATAATGATGCTGAAACCACAAAATGTAAGAAACTGATTTGGTGATAATAAAATTGTGAACTAGTTGCAAAAAGTGACTCCGCCAACAAAAATAGGAAATGAACAAATGCAAAATAATACAAGATGGTTAATAATGACATACGATGGCTGTGAAGCAAATCATTTCAAAAAGAAAGTACAGGAAAGGCTTTGGATTTAAACTATGACAAACATTCATGTACAGAAAGCTGATGGAGTTACAGTTCATATCAAGTGGCCATTACTGCATTAATATAGTTGGCAATTTGGGATTTTTATTGTTTAACAAGATAAATGAAAAAGAAAAGATGGAGATCTTAAGCAAACTGCACCAAATGTGCAAATAGATTAAAACAGTTGTTGAAATCTGCAGATACTAACAGTTTTGACATCTTCAATATGTTAGACAATATAATTATCAAATTTAACATTTGTAAAAAAAAAAAATAAATAGAGGGAGACATCACCAAGACCACTTATTGGATTATCTTTCGCCAATCATTTTAATCCATTAAATAGAGCACCACTTGCTATTTACGCAACATTAATGAATTCACAAAATTCATTGTGCTACAAAAAGAAGTCGTCATCTAAATATGTACAAAATTTCATTCAATGTGGGATAAGTGTTCATGGAACCCAACAGGTGCTGTCTACTGATATTGGGGGTGAGTTTCATAAGGCCAATATTTGATGAAAGTTTTTGACATAGATAATATCACTATTGTTGAACCTTGGAACAATATATTAGAAAGGCATAATCAGATATTGAAATAAACATTAGTTGAAATATGACTACAATCTAAATTAACAGTGCTGAGTTAGTACATAATGACAAAGAAATGATTACAAAATATCTCTATATATGTTACATTGATGTGATACAAAGCTTACTTTTAGTATCTCTTAGGGTGAACCCAGTATATATTGGGGGCTAGAACAAATCAGCTCCTCTTAGATTCAACATTCCTGATTGACTTTTGCTATTTCCGGGCATGAATCATATTGTCTTGCTGGAATAAACCATGACAAAGGTTAACGGATGCAAATGGTATGCAACAAAATCTGTATATGTTATGTTTGTTAAGGTAGACTCAAATTTCATTGATAGCAAATTACAATATCATCCACCCAGCACCTTAAAGAGTCACCACCAGCAGGCATAAACTCTTACTCATAGGCTGGATCCATAGCCTCATGTTGCTTCCTCTATACATGAACTTTTCTATTTGATCAAAAAGGGTTAAAAACATGACTCATCTGATGAAGTGACAGCAATCTCATCATGCGGACAGCAGAGTCGAGCTGGGATCTGCGACAACTAGCGGCTAGCAGTTCTATAAATTGATTCGTTGTACCCTCATAAAATCAACAGGAGTGTCCACCACCACCATATATAATTTGAAAGAATTGACTTTGTTGGTAAACCAGATGCTCTAAAAAATATTACCGATTATTTCTCTATGTTGATTGTGCTGTACAGTTTAGTAACCAGGATATCATGCTGAGATCATTGACTCCTCAAAATGCCCTTAAAATGCAGGAAAATTATTAAAGTCAATTAATTGCAATAAAACTGCCAAATACGTTTGATAAATATGCCAAGTAATTTTGATAAAACTGCCAAATAAATTTCTTAAAACTTGCTTTTTGCTTTAAACCATTTCTTATTTGTAAAAAGGCATATTTTATTGATTGTTCAAAAAAAAAAGTTAATTTAATTCTAGAAAATACAAAATACCTTTGTGCGTAGTAAAGTGTTTACTTCTCTTTTGTATCAGGAATATACATAGGTTCACCTATTGTTCGGTTCTTTTTCATTCTCTTTCGCTCTCAGTAGCTCCTTGCATCTTAGTGACATTATCTCCTTGTTTGGAGTGAACTGATTAAAAAAAAATATCTCTCAATTTTTCTTTTTTCATGTTGGAGAAATAACAGGAAAGAGACAAGCTAGAAGTTTTATATACAATCACAATTTGGTAAATTTAATGAAAGAATTTATTTCCAGGTGTCCAACTCCAGGTTGTAGTGGTCAAGGACATATCACAGGCAAACATGCAAGGCATCGAACGTAAGTAACACTTTCTTGCCTCTTCTCATATCATAAAATCTCAACTTAGATAAACATAAATTGGTACGGCATACTTGTCAATTGTTGATGCATTAGAATTAAACATTAAATTATTTAGTGTTTTGATTATTTTTTTACATATTATTGTTAGATTTTTCAATTGTGAAACTTTAATTTATTTATTTTTTTTTTCAATTATTATTTCACTTTGATCTTTCAAAAAGTCAGCTTTTCTCCTTCCCTTGAAATGGTCTACTGTTGTCATAAACAAAACACTGTCACCTGGTGTCATCTGGAGAAGAGAGATAACTCTAGTAGAAAAAAAAATTACTTTTGTATATTTCATATAATTTATCAGTATAAACAAAACTGAATTAAAGACAAGAAGACTGGCTTCTAGACCCATATATATGACAGTGTGCCATTAAGTTATATTTTGTTCTCCTTCATACAAGAAGCATAACGGTGTTTGTGCACTTTTCATCCATCCTGTAAGTCAAGCTGCATTCTTGATTAACTTGCCTAAGGTTGTTATTTGATACACTGTTTGCATCTTGTCATCTGCAAGTTATTATGTTTCATACTGTCAGGAGCACATTTTCTAATTAAAATGACAGGGCATTTTTCTCATAAGGCAATATTTGCCATTTGAAGAGCTGCTATTTTTCATTAGAAAGCTACTAGCTGACAGCCATGGCTCAAACTATTGTGTGCTGAACTCTTAACATTAAAATGAATAAAAATGATTTTTAACCCCTTTTGTTTGAAAATAGCCAAAGCTAATTTTCATGTAATCATTAGTTCTTTCTCTCTAAAGTTCCTTTTTTTCTCCCATTTTATATATTAGCAATATTTCCTGGTGTTACTTAGATTCAATTCTTGCTCACCTTTAACCTTTACTGGCTAATTCAATTTCATTTGATGCACATTAAACATTGTTTGATCTAATGGCATCTTTGGATTGGCATATTCATTTTATAGTGGGCCAACACTCAAGTCAAGCAGATGTTTGTGGTTTTCAAGATCCCTGAATTATTTTCAGCTCAATTATAGAACTCTACTAATATTATTTGTACTTATGATGAAGATTAAAACAAAATTTTTACATTTCTAATTAGAAATAGGGCTTTATACCCAGAAATGCTGTGAAGAGCCAATTTTTTTAAAAAGAGTTTAGATTGTATTTAACCCATTTAGACATTTTTCTGTGGATTTTCAGGATATAATGCCTAAAAAACATAGGAATAGAGGTCTAGATCATGATTTTCTGATAATTACAAGGAAAATTATGTCAAAAACAAGATATTTGGTGCCAAAAGTAGGTAATGATCAATTTAACATATGAAAAGAACTGAGTATGTTTTAAATGAAAAGAATTGAGTATGTTTTAAATCTCTTCCTGCAGTCAATTGAGAAACATGAAAAAGCAAATTGTGAAGTCTGAATAAATGGAACGCAGAATAAGTATCACATGATAATGATAGCAAAGGAACAACAAAAGACTAGAGGTTGGAGGGGGCAATGATCACACACATTCTGAAATGACATAACACTGAAAGGGATTACTCCAAAATGCCAAAGTTAACAAAGAAAGAATTTGGAAATCACATTCTTAGAGTCATAAAACATATTCAAAATTCCTCTGATGGTTAACAGAAATTGTTAGAATTTGATAAAAAGAAGTGATGTGGATGTTGCTTTTAAGATGCCATTAACTTGTGATGGTGCCTCATTTCAAATAAAACATATAACTTTTTATTAGACAAGAAACAGTAAAAAATAGCCAAATATTGAGAGAAAACATGATATGTTAAAATTGCAACACAAAATCAATTTTCATCTGGGATTTCTAATGCTCAAAATCGGGTCTGTTTTTTTTATTTTCTCTTGAGAAAACACCATCATTTTACTTTTCTATTGAACCCAATGCATGCAAGGTTTCAAACCAAATTATATGACTTTAAAATGTCTTTGGCTGGAACCTCAAATGTTTTGACACCCAACTCTATTACTAAGCCTTACATTTTCAGTTTAAACAAAAATAGAATATATTAGGGTAAAAAGTGCAATGAAAAACTAATTAACCTTAATTAACCGATTTAAAACTAAGGAACAAATTATTACAATTATTAAGACCAGAACGTTCCTATTGCATGACAAGAATTCATATCTGGAATATTTTTCTACTGCAAAAATAAGATGCTGGACAAAAATTCTTGCATTTCTATTTGGTATTTTGAGTGATAAATGAAAATAGCCACATTATGTGTTTAGTAAGGATTTACTTTTCATTTTTGCTATTTTACCATTTGTTTTCATACATTAGACTTTGTTAATATTGAAAGACAACTTTTATTTCATTCAATGAAATTTCTTGTTTGTGAAATGTCACTGATTTGTAATGGTTGAAAAAGTGAAATTGATGAGTAATTGGTCAGTAAATCCAAAAGTTTTGTTTTATAATGGAAATTCCGCAGGTGATTATTAGTCTGATAGTTGGCCAAAATGGTGATGATTCTTTTTGATGAAGACTCTTTCAAATTACAATCCTGCCATTCCATGTGTTCCTTTTATTGGGTTGCCTGGTGGGAAAACAATATCAGTATTGAAAGGAACCATAAAATGTTTCTCTCTCTATTTTGAAGAATCATTAGAAGAGGTTTGCAGAACTTACCACTCAAATCGGTGATGCAAATTGTAAAGATGCATCATACACAGAATTACACAGTGTTTTTACATTGAAAAGATACTTTAGGATAATTCCCAGAGGGTCTTATTTTTGGCAGGATTTTTCTTCAGTAAATTTATGAAAAGACAAAACCAATTGGCCTGAGTGTATTGCATACTTGAAATAAGGAAAAAAAAATTCCAGTTTGAAACAATTTAAAAAAAAAAATAATGAACTCCCTTCAGGAGTTAAAATCTCATGTTTCTTGTATGCTTGTTCAAGAAGCTGTTAAGAGAGCGCTTATCATTCTTGAGTTCTCTAAAAATTGGGCCTAGGACCAAATTTTGTTTTTATTTCAACAAGAGAGGGCGCAAATGCAAGTGTCGCAGTATTTCTGCAACTCTAAATACAGAATTTAGTTTTGGGTCCAGTGACCCTCATAGAAGAAACAAAAATTTTAGATTTTCTTCATTTAGTTTTCTGCAATAAATTTGATTTCATTTTACAATCAATAAATCTTGATACTTCTAATGTTGTCCAAAAAAACTGAAAATCCCAAATTCCTGTGGATCATGGCATGGCCGTCATTCACAAACAACAAGGTGAGTGAAATGTTATATTAGTATGACATGAATACTAGACTAAATTTTTCATTAAAAAAATAATTATTTATTCACTTCTAGACTCTGTCAAATTAATGATGACCAATCAAGGGATATGTGGTTTTGAATCTTATTTTGAATGTTTGATCTTCATATAAGTGTGCAAGCATTTGATTGAAGGTCAGAGGGCACAATGACTGAAATGTAATAACAACAAAGATGAGGACAATAGCCAGTATGTAAATAATGATAATTCCTCATCACAGAAATTCAAACGGAAACTTATTATTTTGTTGTTTTTTTGCTATTGAATATTATGTATTTGTTTATGATATACTCTTCATATGAAACCAATGATAGTAGATGCATGAATAATCCTCATCTCTTTCTGTTTTTTTATTTTTCAGGGTGCAGGCATGTCCTATAGCTGCAGCAGCCAAGAAACGGAAACAAGAAAAAGAGGAAGAGGCACCCCATCCAAAACGAAGCCGGAAAAGACAACAAAATGAGAGCCTTGCCCGGGCAAGTGAAGATGAGGGTGGGATGTCCGAGAGTGAAAATGAAGACCAGGAGAGTAAGACCAGCGAAAAGGAGAGTAAACAAAAGGAAAGCGGATCATCGTCAAATCTGATTAACTCCCTTGAACAAAACCTCAACAAAAACGACTCAGGTGATATTCTGTCAGACTCAAAGAGCCAGCACAAACTTGATGTGACTGCTGCAGCTGCTACTCTGGCTGTATCTTCTAAGTTGTTGTCTAGTCAAGGAGGAGGAGGACCAACATCAGAAATTGATGACGAACAAAAGTGTTTCCAGGAAGCCGAGAGGGCATTGCGCAGCTTATCTGGAGAATATGACGGTGCCGAAGATTACTACAACTATTCTAAAAAATCTCGAGATGCTGAGACAGAAGGTGATGGGGAAGACAGCGAAGAAGCTGCCACAGCAACAGTCAAGAGTGAAGAAGTTCAAATGGTTGAAGGGTCACCAAGGGAAACGGCTAATGATACAGAAGATGAAATGGATGGTAACAAAGATGAAAGCCAGTCACAGGGTGGAAACTCTGAAGAATCCGGGAAATATAATAGCCAGGTGTCATCGGATGATGATGCTGAAATTCTCTTGAAGATTGAACAGCAGTGTGCAAGCATCCAGTCAGGTGCTACATCATGCTGCTCAGCAGAAAGCGAATATAACAGTGAGGCTGAACCAGAACAGGATGAGATTGAGGTGCCAGAACCGGTTGAAGAAGAGGAAGAAGAAGTGGTCGAAAGCATTGACGAAGTGGTAGCTGAGGTGGAGTGCGAGAGTGGGGAGCTCATCGACGATAATGATGAGGACGATGAAGATGAGGAGGATGAAGAGGACGATGACGAAGATGATGAGGAAGACGACATGCCACAACCAAAAGAAATGAACATCCAGTCCAAACTGGCAAATGCTCCCTGCATTTATACAGATAGCTCAGCATCCACAGTGTCCTCGGCCAATGTCCACTGTGTGGCCACAGGCACAATGGTATCCCCATCATTGTCTGGGTCCGAATCCACACTACCTCCAACCAGCACGGCAACAACAAATTCAGTGATGGAAACAGTTGTTGGGCTGCCTCCCGAAGAAGCTGAATATATGGTTGTAGCCGAGTGGACCCCATCAGCAGCTGGGGTAACCCCTACCTCTGTTATGGGTTCTGTGCAACCTCCTGTTGCACCATTAATCAGGGGCAATACACAGTGTGTCAGCAATGAGTACAAAGTTTTTAATGAGGATGGGCAGGAACTGATCAACTCTGTTACAAATAGCATTGATAACAACAATCTGAAACGACTCCCTGATGAACCATTGGGTGGTGTTGGTGGAACGGATGTCGGCTCTGGTGTTACAAAAGGTTAGTAAAAATTCCCTGGGAATTCTATTTAATTTGATTAATTGTTCAAAAAGCAAACTTACAACCAAGAAAGCAAGTAGTTCAGTGTTTAGTTGAATACAATTGGTATCATATCTTAAAAGATTATATATTTTAGAAATATATACACTTTAAATAACAGCAAAATTTGCAAAGGAAGAAACAATAGGCAGTAAATAGATATATGACAAAATATTTATTATCTAATTGCCTACACATTAGACCTACGTGACCAAATAAATTGCATTGCTAAATCACAAACACTCATTCAAAAACACAAAGAAAACAAGCCCAACATGTAGACTTGTGAGCTAAGTAAAAGTGAACTAAGTAAAATAATACTATAAAGAACTCAGAACTAATGACAAAGAAGTAAACCAGTGGAAAAACACAAAAACATTCATAGACTGGTTCTGTAACCTAAAAAACAAACATAATTGTGAATTTATACAACTACATATAAAAGATTTCTACACTTCAATTTCTGAACCCATGCTAGATGAGGCCATCTCCATAGCTCAAGAACAATAAGCACAAAGAAAAATTATCAAGTATTGCTAAAAATCCCTATTATTCGGCAACGATAACACGTAGCTAAAGAAAGAAGGAGCATTCAACATTATAATGGGAAGTTTTGATGGTGCAAAAAAAAAAAACCTGTGAGCTTATAGGCATATATTTACTACATGAACTAAGCAAAATAATAAAAAGGATATTGGCCTCTGCAAGGATGATTGTCTCCTAGTCCTAAGAAACTAACAGACAAAACCAAAAAAATAATCGCAAAAATGTTTAAAAAAATATAGCATTTGACATAGAAATAAAACAAATCTTAAAGAAGTAGATTTGACATCATGCTCAACCTAAGAAATGGTTATAGAAAACCCAACAGCAAACCACTTTACATACACAGATCTATAATGGGAAATAACATCAGAATAACAATAATAAATCCAGAAATTGTAAACTCTGTATGAAGGAGAAAATAACTATAATCACTTTCTCAGATCAATACAAATATATAAATGATCAGAAATTATCTGAAAATACAGACTCAAAATCAAAAAGTAAAAACGAATACCTTGTAAAATATGACATGTAAAATGCAAATATACACACTATATGCAACATAGATAATGTAGCATACTTTAGACAGAGTCATTACTTTAAACTAAACAAATAAGATAACCAAATCTGAAATGAAAAAATAAGATAAAAAAAAATCCAAATTAAGTAAATAATTAACAAATTACAAATGTACACATAAACACAAGTAAATGTAATAATAAATAATGAGTAAAAGTTAATAAACACTATACAATAGCTACAAATAATCGCATTTGGATTCACAAATATTTCGACTCAATAGCCATTAGAATAATTTGAAATATAATCATTACTGTCTGCCCAATGACCAGTGGGATAATACATTAGACTGTGATACCCATAATGCACTATTGGCCAGCATATATAAATAGTTGAGCCAAAACAATTCACATGACCTGAAGATTATGTTCAAGATTGAAACAGAATGTTGTTGTTTTGTGTTTACCTGTGTTTCTTATATTTAAATATGCTCTATTCCTGATGTTGAGCACTTTTTACTATCAATATGACATATTTTAAAACTATATTCTTATCATATATATATTTAAATCACCCTTAAAAATGTTAAAAATCTTATTTCTACAAGCTTTCAGAAATTACTCTCAAGATAAACTTGACATTTGGCCTTTATCAAATATACACGTTTGTTATTTGTATGTATGTATTGCTAAATTTATTGTGATCTCCTTAGAAATTTTCTTGCTCTTCCAAACTCATGTGATAAAATGCTTTAAAGACATTTACTTCCAATCATTATATCATTTGTGTGTATATATATATATATATATATATGCACACTGATTTTCTAAAGTAATAGATTTTTTCTTTATTACTCCAACAGATTTTTATCCCTTTAAATGTTATTTTTAGTGGATACTTGTTGTAATTTGAGTAAATGCTTTGTTTATTTATTTATTTTTCTCTAATGGCATCTCTGTTTAAAAAATCTAATTAAAGTAAAACTGCATATTTTTCTTTAATAACATTTTTCAAATATTCAGGCCAGTAGACAAAAATATATATACTGTTTAATAAATAAATGGAACATCTATTCAAATATGAGTATCTGCTAAAAATAACACTTAAAGTGATAAATATATATATATATATATATATATATAAACATGCATGAAATATGCAGTTATTATCTATCCATTTGTGTGTGTGTGTGTATGATAATATAACATTTTCTGTTACAGTGTATCTTTCTTTGTGTGTTCATGTTACCCACGGGTATTGTGGGCTTATGTAGCAAGAAACAAAGAAAGCAAAAAAAGTTTTTTTTTTAAATCCCAGCTGCTAAAGTAAAGATAATAAGGGACATGCTCCAACCACCTGCTGCTACTGCTGCTGTCAAGGTTGCACCCATTTACTCCCCCCCGTCCCTCACTCCCCTCTCTTTTGACTCGTTTTTTTTTGCCCTGCCCACTGAGGCATAGTCAAATGGCATAAACAAAGGTGAACCCTTCTTATTTCCACTTTCACCTGCTATGTTTACTTATGTGGGTCTTTCCATTCAATCAGGCTTCCGAGTTTCTGTTATCTTCCTGATCACACATTGATATACCTACTAGCAGAAGTACCCAGCTTTGCTTGGGTTTCTAAACATTTCAAATGAATACAATCATGTGAATTAACTTTACAAATAATATCCAGTTGGTCCATGAATGTTCATTCTATCTGTTACTTCCAAGAAATTAAGAATATAATTCTATTTTAACTTTATAAAAATTTTCAAAAACATAAACAAATAAATGGCCTAAAATATATGGCCTATTCTTACAAATTTTTTAACATTTTCTAGAAAAAAATACATTTTCCCAAATGCTGTACTAATTTACATAATTACCATATGCAAATTCTTTTTAACCAACAATTTTTTTCCAATATTTGTTGTATAATTTATTCCTGTTCCTGCCTTTTCCAAGGGCATCAGTGTCAAATGAATACAGATTATTTCAATTAGTACCATCACTGGTGTCTTTACAAATAAATGTTTATGAAAGGGTGCTTAAAAAATCTCAGCAGGGTGCTTCCAATTCATGCCATCTCACATTAAAAATTTAGCTGGAAATAAGTCTTGACCCTAAATTGGCAGCTTCTACTAACTTTAGTGGTTGGTGTTGTCTATCCTACATTTGTCATTGACTCCAGTTACCCTTATTGACTATTTATATTCAAATTAATAGAATGACTAATTTTCAACCCCATGGTTCAGCCATTTGATTGATCTTAAAGCACAGAAAAGCAAACAATCTCTGGATTAATAGTAATTGTTTTGTCAGCCTGCAAATGGTTGGTAATCATTTTTACATACAGATGTTTTCCATAGAAGTAGATAGGTTACCTATCGTCCAGTTCACACTCCTCCCCAGTCTCTTGAATAGGAGTAGAATTTCATCCCTGGTTTCCTGGATTGCATTTCCAGTTGCTTCTAAAGCCTACTTCAACTTTATACACCTAACGCCTCCACCAGAACTCTGAAATATTATTTTCTATTTAAATCTAGACCTCTTAAAGTCTAGAATTAACTAAATTTCCTGTTACCTTTCCCTTTCTTATACTAATACTACTCCACACAATAACCCTCTACCTTGAGTGGCTCTTGAGTCTTGTATTGGGTGAACATCAGAAAAATAACTCTCATTAGTGTGGCTTTGTGTCAGACTAAAATGAATATGGCCCCTATATCAAAATTAATTCTATTTCAGATTGAAGTATATATTATCATTATTTTATATACATATTTTTATGGACGTTTTTTGTTTTGACAGGATGTAAAGATGGCATCAGCTCTCAACTTGGTATCTACGCTGATGACACAACCATTTACTCCTGTCTCGATAGTAAGTCTAATCAGTTTGATAAGGTCAAAATGACAGCTGATATCCAAAATGACTTTCAGTCTGTTGTTAACTGGGACAAAGGATGCCTTGTTAATTTTAACACTTCCAAAACTAAACTGCTCTCTATTAATCATTTGAGAGAACCCTCACTCCTTTCCATCAGCATGGCTGGTGCCGACCTCCAGAAGAATGACTTGCTGCACCTTCTTGGGCTAACATTCTAGGCTGACATGAAGTGGAAAGACTATATTTAATCCATTGCTAGGTTAGCTACCATGAAGGTTGGTTCACTGAGTCATGCTAGATGGTTTCTAGTCTATCTTACATATCAATAAGTCTACCATTTGCCCATGCTTAGGATATTGCTGCCACATATGGTCTAGTGATCCTGCTATATGTCTAGAGCTCTTTGATAAAATCCAAAGAAGAATCAGCAATATTGTTAGCCCTGATTTGACGTCTCAGCTCGTCTTTGCCTTTTCTATAAATACTTATATGATAATTGTTCAGATGAGCTCTTTGCTATGGTGCCTAGACTCTTCAAATTTAAGTGCAGTACTAGACTGGCAATGAGGTCTCATCACTTTCTAATTGTGCTGGCTAGATGTGTAACTGCAAATTCTATGCTAACAGTTTCTTTTTTGTACTTTTCACTGTGGAACTCTCTTCCCTCTCCATGCTTACCAACCAATTTTGATCTGCAAAAATTTAAATGAAATGTCACTCGATATCCACTGTTCTCCTGATGACACTGTTCTCGCTCCTTAGCATTGTTCCTGTTTCTAACTCTCCCACATCCAGGTCACCCCCTTGTGTCTTGGTGGCTTTACTGCCTTGCCTTAGGGTGAGCTCAATTAAAAATATGCTTTTACAGAAATATTTCTAAATACACTCACAAAACTATAATACATACATACATACATACATACATACATACATACATACATACATATATATATATATATATATATATATATATATATATATATATATATATTTTTATTTGGTAATCTGTATGGCTAATTCCAAAGAGAATATACAGTGCTGTTCGATAAAAGTGACTCACCTGATTTTTTTTACTAAATGAAACGAAAGTTGAGCTAAATTCAAAGGATAAGCGATCTAAAATCTGAAGAAGATTTGAAAGCTCTTTGAATTTAGCAGTAAGTACTGTCAAGCATCCGTTCAGTATAATGTTCTGGGGATGCTTTTCTTTTCATGGAACTGGTTTCTTAAAACTTATTGAAAAGACCCTCAGGAGCGAGCAGTACAAGAGAATTTTAGTCTTGTCTGCTCCCTTCTGTTGAAAAGGTGCAAATCGACCCCACTAAGCTCATTTTTATGCGGGATAATGCTCGCTGTCATAAATCAAAATTGATGAAGGAATACTTTGATGAGAAGCAGGTGAGTGTTATGACATGGCCG